AACGGCCTCAGAACTTTTCCAGCACACACCTTGCCCCTGTTAAGGCAAAAAGTTAAGTGCCTCTTTCCAAAGAGAGGAGGGGAGAAAAACTCCTTCCCCCCACACCCCAGCCTTAGAGAAAGCTATCAGCCTGGAATGCAGGTCAGCCAGCTAGTTCTTTTGTATAGTCAATTACCCCTTCCCCCTCCCTCCTTCAACACCTTTTACAGCGGGACAGGGGAAAGGAAAATTTCTACTTGGACTTTTAGAACAAGTAAACCTATGACACTGTGTCTGCCTTCATCTTCTTGTACTCTTATGTCTGGTGAGATTCAGTCTTGCTCCTTACCTATGTCTATGAGGTAAAAACTTCTACAGGGTGAAAGCAAAACTAGTTGAGTAACTGCACCTAAAATCACTTGCTGCATGGTTCACTGCCAATTGTCAGCATTTCCCTTCACACAGTTGTTTTACAAGAGGCCTGAGATGATAAAGAGTGTGCTGAGAAACTTACCGGGGGAGAAGCAAAGAGCTGCAGGTGTGGCGGAGAATGAGATTACTATTTAGAATAATATTGGCAAATGGGAGATGTCATCTGGAACAAAGCAGGTGTCACTGAGCATGAAAACTCACTGTCTGTAGGCTGGACTGCATGGATATGAGATGGGGGAGGAAATAGGGAAAGGTGCAGGTCTTTGGAAAAGGACCTGGAATTTTTGTTTACTAAAGAAAGAAGGATACACTGTCATGTTATTGGGTTAAAGCACTTGGGTAAGGAGCTCAAAATTAATTTGAAGGAATTTCTCTGCTCTTCTCAGATTTCTACAGTATCCCACTGTTTTATCTTATGAACTCTGAGATTGGGACCAATTGAAAGATAGCAGTGGTCTAGAAAATATTAAAAGATTGAAATGATTAGAATGGCTTAGTCAAAAAATTAGCATATTCAGGTTGCAGAGAAATGGCTCTCTGCAACCTCTCTCTGTACCTCAGTTATGAGGAAGGGAAGGTGAGATTTGGTCATGGAGAAAGTTTTTCCTAATACCAGCAGCAGAGGAATACTAAATCAGGTAGTCTGACAAGATATGTGGTTCTTTGGTGGAAGGTGAGAGAATTAGATGTTGTCTTTATATAAGCCTTATACAGGATTCTTAGGGACTTACTTTCATCATGTCTATTACTACCATTTGCACATGTGGAGAGAATTCCAACAGGTAAAGTAAAACTTTATGTATCCCAAAAAGGAAGCATGCCTTGTGATTCTAGTCAGAGGATCTGAGAGCTGTTTTCTATTGGTTGGTGGGGTTTTTTTTGGCCCTGCTGAGGAGCATAAATCCTGTTCTCTAATGGAACTCACTGCTTCTTATTTGCATGTATTTTTAATAAAGATCATGGCTCCCTGAGCTGCTAAAATAAAGTGTGGTCTTCATACAGCTGCAGAGGTAAGAGAGTGATAGGTCATTGTTTGGGGATGTTTGTACCCAACCAAGTGTAATCCACATAGCTCAGTACTTGCTCCTGTGAGATAAGAAGTCTATTGGCACAAATATAGAGTAGTAGTTCCTGTTCTGCTTTTGGAGTTTAGAGACATCTTGAGGTGGAACTTTTGCTGTTCTAAAGGTCTGCTTTTTTAATGAATTTTTATAATAATGTTTGTTTCATGGTCTCAGAAATGTCTTTAGGCATTGAATTTTGTCATTTAATTATTCACTAGGTGAAGAAGTATGTAAGAGCAGCTTCGTAAAATTTCATTTGATGTTCTTAAGTTCTTCTGGGAAACACTTAGGGCATCTGACATACCAAGTCACTTTGTGCTATAATGATTTTTTTTCCCTATGTACTTTGATCTGACACCCATCATACTTACCTGTTTTGTGAACTAAAAAATTCACTTTACTTTCTTTGTGTGGAAGTTGCTCCATGATCAGTATTACCTATGTTTTTTTGGGTGCTTTATATTTTTTGTGAGGTAGGAGAATTTGAAAAACCATGAAAAACCATGAATGTATCAGCAGTGTAAGAACGCGTTATGTTGTCTCTTCCTTCCATTAAAAACAGTGATATTCTGGATGTTTTCTAACCTGACCACTTCAAAGCACTGAATGAATGTTTTTGAAAGTCTGTGTTCAGAAACTACTAGAACTTTTTCTGGTAATGGCATTAAATAACTCGTACCAGTGTATTATGTTACATTTATTGACACGTGACTTCATTTGCTGTTTTCTGTACTTGTTGCTCAGTGTCCTGAGGTTCTGCAAATTTTTTGATGATCTGTCATTTGATTGATCATAATAATTTTGTATGAAGCACATATGCTCCTGAAATGACAGATAGGCAGGTGACCATCCTGAAGAACAGCCCAAGTCCTGCTACAGATTCTGATGAGGCTTCTGTCCTCTTGCCTGTCAGTCTTTGTCTCTTAAATCTTACTGTGCAAGTCTTCAGTTCTCCAGCAGCTTCCTATGTGAGACATCAGCAGAAACTTCTTAGAAGTGTTTTGTTCACTACCACTTCCAACTACTTTTTCCACAGGATCCTTGATTCCTTCAAAGGACTCTTCAAGTTGTGAAGCATGATTTTCCTCTACAAAAGCTGTGTTGGTTTTTTTCACCATTTGTTCTAATCTGCAGATTCTTAAATATGATTCCTTGTCCAGTATCAAAATCAGACTTTGTTGTGCTTCTACTGATTGCCTTGTCAGCTCTGAAAAGATTTGATAAATTTTCCGCTCTCCATTTCTCTTTACGTAAGTCACCTTAAGCCTAAGTTTTTCAGAATTCATAGTTTGGCAATTTAATAGCTGGTAATTTAACACTTTCACTGAATAGCACCTGACTGATGAATTGTTACTATTGGTATTTTTAAATGCTCTGCTGGTGCTTCGTTTTTAGAGAATGCCTTATATATCCTCAGTGTGAAGACGATCTAGTGGGGGATTGCCTTTGACTGTCCTTGTAGTAATTTCAGAAAACAACAGCTCATCTAGATTTTCTCTTTTATCCTTATCTTCATATAATTCTGTCTTTTATGTCTTCATTATCTGGTAGATTACTGCATTGTTGTAGCAAGCTGTCTGAAACTATCAGATTCTACTATGTTTGAGATCAGAAATAGCAGTGGAAATTTTGTAACATTTTATTGCTCTCTGACAGATGGCTGTGCAGTTCACTGGAAAGCTTTTATTATGCTTCCGTGTACTAGCTGGTGTATGCCTACCAATTAGACCAGTACTGGACTTGTATTACCAGTTTTAAATTCTACTGATGACCTGTATGCAGATGAAAATAAGCACATAGATAAAGAGTTAGTAGTAATTGGAATTCTGAAGAAAAGTTGGGTTTGCATTTTTTTTTTTGTACCGAAAAATGAAATTCTCCACTCTATCATATGTGATAAAGTAGTTCTTTAAAAAAAAACAAAATAAAAAAGGATTACACCTTGTCTGTGTGCAGAGAGCAGAGGATACAACTTGTCTCTGTTTAAATGGCTTCAGTTTGTTGTTTTATTTAATAAATGTAGTTTTCATAAGGGCTTCATTTTGCCACATGCAATTTTTTAACATCTGCTTGAAACCTGAATGTACCCAGGTGCTGGTGGTAGTGTGTGTTCTACTTTCATGAGTCCCATTTGAGCAAGGATTAAGACTTATGTTCCTGTCCAGTGATATTATGCTATTTCCACCTGGTTTGCATTTGTAATGGGAAGACTGGAGCCAAATTTACTGTAATGTTTTGCTCCTGATTGTAATTTTTTGCCAGTGAAGACTTTTCCTTGGGCTTTGTAACTTTGAAAAAAGTGATTTTATATCTGTTTTTAAAAAAATGTGGTGAATTTTGTAATGCTTATAGCCTCCTACATTTTTTCCCCTCCTTTTGTATTTGCTTGCATAGCTGCTGTTCCTCTGCAGTGACTGAATGTTAGCATCACTTAGTCTTTTCTATTTTTGGTCATGGAGAATGGAAGTTTTGTATTTATACTAGGCAGTTCTTTGTTTCTAGAATGTCACTAAGTAACCAGAAAGGAATATTAAGTAATGCCTTCTTGAATATGAGCTAAGGTTGTCCCTTCATAAGATTTTATAAATGTCTGTGATCACTGCTTTGTTTTAAATAATGAATACTGAAAATAGTTCTCTTTTCTTTACCCTTACACACCGTGTCTGCATTTCAGTTCTGTTTCATGTGTCTTTTCTTACAAGGGCATTTCTAAACTGTTATGGAATGTCTCGTCTAAAGCTGGACATTCTAGCATGAGATTATGAGGGAATATTTAACATGGGTCCAGATGTAGATAATATGCTATACCTTGCACTTGTTAGCTGTACGGAAAGCTTGTTTCTTATTTTATTTTATAATTTAAATACTTTTTTTCTTAATATAAACCCATCAAAGAACTTCTTTGTCAGTTTGCTTCACCTAGATTGCAGTCCAGAGTTACAGCTTGAAATTTTGGTCGTATAGTCATCCTTCCTGAGCGCTTTCTGTTCTAGATATTGGAGTAATTAGAACCATATAAGAAATCTGTGTGTCTTGATTGGTCCCTTTCTCATGTTGCCACTTGTTTTCTTCCACTCTTGTGAAAATACCACTACTAAATTTGTCTTTCATATAACAAACTTTGGCCTTCTATCCTTTCGTTTTCTTGCTAATGAGTATCTGCTTTTGTTTTATCAAGGGTGAGGTTCAGAAATAAATGAAATTGTCTAATTTTTCAGCTACAATACATTATGTCATAAGAAATTCCAAGAACTTAAAAAAAACCCCAAACTTGTCTTATGTGTGTAGAGACAAAATTATTTCTTCACTCAAAATTGTGTGTATGAAGTGATAACATACTGCTACTTGCAGTCATTTGAGAAGTCTGCTATTCTTTTTCTTGAACTCTGTCTCTTTTTTTAAAGAAGTCTCGTGTATGGTAATAGTCTGAAAATGCAAAGCAACTTAATGTAAGTTTAAGTTATACAATGCCTTTTAGAATGCTGAAATAATAATAAAAACATTTGGTATGCTTTTCTTTCACAGAGTCCCCAGAAAAGAAAAGAGAAGTATATTTCAGAAAGTGAAAATCAGAGGAATTAGCTGCTGACATAGGAAAACTATACTAAGGAACATTTTTTGAGGAAAATTTTTAAGGTATGTGAGCTTAAGTTATGCTTTGCAGAAAAGCCTTCCTGAAAATGAGCTGCCTGTTTTGTTTTGAGTGGACCAGTATTCCAAAGTCAGTTTTGAAATAAACAGGCTAACTTATGTTACCACTGTGGATGTTTATTGTTGGCAATAGCTCTGTGGAAGCAAGAATTTTGCTTGTTGATGTTGCATACGTTTTATATCAAATGCATACATAGATAATCTTCTGAATATGTTCTTAGTGTAAACAAATGGTAGGTAGAACATGTGTTTTGTGTTTCATGGTCTTGCACATTCCAGGAATAGATCCTACCTTAACAAAAACGTCAAATGTTTGAGAGTCTCTAATTTTTATTTAAGGTGTGGATGGAGAGCTAAGAATGATTAATTTCATTATTTCAGTGGAACATAGCTACATTCAGAAATTGAGATGGACTGTCTAACAAATTCATAACCTATTATAAAATTGCTTTTGAATCAGTACACAAGCCTTGAATTTGAGAATTTGTGTCCTGAATCCAAATTCTCTTTCTTTTCTGATTTTCAAATATTCTTAATGTTTACAGATAGTGTTTGCAAAATATAACGCATTCTATACTCTGTATGATTTGGAGGCTATGCAGATTTAGGATCAAAGGAGTTGACAGCATATCAATAGTGAGTGTGATGCTGTTCTTGTTCCATGTTCCTCCTTATGGTGAAGCCTGGTCTCCATTGTGCATTCCTGTTCTGAATTTAAGTGGGGGCCAGGTGTGCTTTCTAGGTTTGTGGTTTGTTAGTTGCCTGCCTTGTTACTGATACTGTGAAACCACAAGTTCCAACTGATGCATGTGGATCCATCATTATTTTAAGATTAGCATCTTGGATATAGTTGATAGCAATATGTAACAGAAGGCACCAGCTGTTATAAGGGCAGGATAGCATCCTATGGAAACATTGCTTTGTATGTGTTGTGTTTTTCCCTGATTATTTGATTTCAGTATCAGAGACACAGGACCTTTGATCTGACCCAGAGTGGCCACTCTCATGTGTCACAGACAGATTGCAATCATTAAATTAAATGTTAATTTGCTATGAAAGCTACTTTCTTCAGAGTTGCTGCTGGATTCCAGGAAGACTATTAACACTGGAATATTGGCTTTGTTTGCTGAGGGGAGTGCTGCAATTTTGAAAGATTATGTGAATGTCATTGAAGTTTCTCACAATGTTGTTTGGAATCTTGACTGCATGCTGTGGTGATGATTGAGACAGGTTGTAAACTGTCTTCAGTAACTCTCCTAAATTTAGAACTGTTTGAGATCTGGTTGCTCATTCACAGTATGTAATTAAATGCATATTGAATATTTACTTCCTGTGAGTGATTAGTTCGTTTTTTTGAGAGTGACTCTATAAAGAAAGTAAGTCTTTCTTGTAATTGACTGTGAGACATGTTTTAACTCTTAAGCTCACCGGTTATTTTTTGACTAATTTACATGCCCGGGAATTTTTTTAGCAATATAAATCTATATATCTCTTACATTTCAAAACAAGAAAAGTGAATTCATTTGTCTTGTTTGATGCTACTAGGACTTTATTGCTTTTACAAAACATGCTAGAATTCAGTTTGAGATTTGACTGGCATGTCAGGTCATGTATGGAAAAAGAGATAACCTCAGGGGTGTCTACCAAACGTGGAAGAGGTCTCTTCGTAGGAAGAGTAAGCAGTTCCTGAAGGTTTTTTTCCTGTATGAATTTAGCATATCATGTTTGTGGTTATGGCTTCTCCATCCAGCTTTTTTAAAATGTAATGCCATCTCTGTTATTTCCTCTAAGATGAAAATATTCTCCCATGTTTTTTTGAGAAAGATTTTTTTTTCCCCAGAATATTTTTCACACTGTATTTTCATCTTTTTGGCATTAGAGTAGAAGATATGTTTGTGTCTCAAACTAGTTCCACATTAAATCTTTTCTGGGTTCAGATTTTGCTGTACTATTCAATTTTGCCAGTAGTCTGGTTGCAGAATCTCTTTGGGAATCTTTGTCTTTCATGTTCAGTGTGAGTGTTTTAATGTTGCTCATGGTTCTGATTTGCAAAATCTCCTGAAATTTTGTGTGATAACTGAAGCCAATAACATCTTTATTTTTTCTGAATACCTGATATACTCTAAAAATGCTAGGCACGCTGAAAAGTCTGTCGAAGCCTTGTACATACCAGTATTAGCTGCTGGAGTGTTGATATTAGTCTACATGTCTCAGTTCTCGGTGTAAAATAAGAATATTAGTCCTACTTCCTTCAATGGGCTGTTAGGAAGATAAATCTGTTAATGTATGTTGGTGCAAAACACTCTTCTAATTTAAGTAGTACTTCTCTGTTCAAAAGAGCCAAGACATTGCTGGAGTGCAGGAATTAGTGAATAAGCAGTACACAGGTTGTGGTTGCACTGCAGTCCAGAGGTAGAGTTGCAGTGTGGAAATTACTCATATGTGTGGTTTCAGGTCTTCCATGGTGTGGCTGCATGTTTATCAGCACCAGATGCAGGTGTTCCAGAGCCACCTCTAACAAGTCTTTGACCTCCAGTTGTGCTACAGTATTTCATAAGGCAGCATATCTTATCTGTTTATCAGTTTATGTCACTTAGATAGAAGAAGACTGGACTGACTTAGGAGAAAATTGTGTGAACTTAAGAACTGTGACCTAGGGGACCTACAGTTGTGTGGGAAACCTGGTTTGGGATATTTTCTGATTTTAGGGAGGTTGAATTTGCAAGTTTAATGGTCTGCTGACACAGGATTTAGGAGAAAAATAGCTTCTACCTAGTTATCCATTTCCCATAGATGCAATGCCCAAGAGCTGGTGTTTTATTTGGATTTTTCTGTGCTCTTAGAGTAGTAAACACGGGAAAAAACTATTTCTGATCACCAGAAGTGGAAAAGTGCAGTTGGCAGCTCTTGTCTGGAGATACTCTCAGCTATGCTTATTTGATTAAATATGTAGATTGGTCTTTAGTATCTCTCTTAGATGCTGCTATATTTTCCCTTTTACTGTAGTTTAAATTAGGAAGGTATGTTTTTACAGAAATGGAAACTGGAGAACAGTTCTAAGCCTGAAATCTCTTCCAGTCATAGATAGGTTGATTTGAAACAGTGCACTGACCCTCCATTCAGCTTATACTGAGGAGGTATATGTATGTGGTTAATCTCATGATTAAGTTGTTTCAGGGTTTAGACATTAATACTTGCTCTTTGTCTCACTAGACGTTTTTCTTTTGAAAATTGTCTTATCAGTCTTGTTCTCCTTTCAGATGTGGTGAAGAGCCTGTATTTTCCCCTGTGTGGTATATTGTGCCTTAAAAAATGGGGTTTGGAGGTGATCTGAAGTATTCTCATGATGCTTTATTAAAACTTCAAGACTGGGAACTGCGACTGCTGGAAACGGTGAAGAAATTTATGGTAATGCGAGTAAAAAGTGACAAGGAATATGCCTCCACTTTACAGAATCTTTGCAATCAAGTAGATAAAGAGAGCACCTGTCAATTGGATTATATCAGCAATGTGTCCAAGGTAAGTCTGAAGTATTTTGAATTTGGAAATATCCTTGGAAATAAAAGTGCTGTTTGTTTGTTTTGGTTTCAGTTGGATTCCTGTTCATTCAGGTTCTTGAGAGCTAGTGTTACCAAACCATTTTAAATGGGCTACTTTTTGTTCCTCAGTGGAATGTGCAGAAATCGAGCTCTAGTCTTGGTTCAAAAATAATAACCGAACTAGAATCAATCCTGATTTTTGAAATTCAGTATTTTACATACCTGGCTTGAGCCTGCTACTTTGTTAAGTGTTTTGAAAATCGAGTATGCTATAGTAAGCTTTTCTTTCAAGACAGTTAAATAGGAACTATTGTTTACGTTATATAGAATTTGTGACAGAAATAGAAAAATACCAGGAAACAAGTCAAAGCCTAGCATTCCAACTGTTATGTACACTGCAGCATGTGTTGTGAAAACAAAACATTAATTCAGGATGTTTCTCATAATTGTGAAGTTATTTTGTATCCAATTTGAAATAACTGCGTTGACTTTTTATGAAAGTAAGGCTCCTCCAAATTACTAATTTTCAGATTTAGAGCAAGTCCAGTAAACATACTGATGAAGCAGACTTCCCTCCCTCCTGACAAGAGAAAAAACTACTCTGTTTTAATGGCTTACACAATTCTTGGCCCTTGTGCTGTAGCAGTGGTTACACAGTCCCTTCGTGAATCCTGATCTTTCTGCAGGAAAACACCCTTTTTGAGTCAAGTTAAATTTTAGACAAAACCGTTTTTATGTAGTGGGCTTATGGGGTGGCTGCTTGAATACTAGCACTGGTGTAGCATGAGGAATAGGACTGCTCCTTGTGCAGCAGGATGATTTATACTGGATTAAACTGACAGAGCGTGTGAGTTGAAAGCTGTGCTGATATAGCTGGACTGCTTCAGCTGCCCCAAAAGTAGCACTGCACAGTGTTTATCTGTAACATTCTGTTGTTACCTCCCTCTCCCACAATAATTCTTGCCTTGTCAGTTGAAATACTGCATTTTTTCCCTTGTCTCTGTGTTTTGGTGGTATATCTGAAATGCTTGTTACCCAATTATGTTTCTTACACAGGATTTGTTATAGATATAGCTATTGAAGTTGTGATGATTTCAGTAAATAAATATTAAAGCATTTTCATTAGCCTAAGATTGGCAGATGTCATGTATTTCCTTCAAGCTTTCTCCTGTTAGATCCCAAAGTTTTATATAGAATTGTTGGTGATATGACTCATCTTGCTATTACTGCCCCAGTAGAATTGTTCTTAGTGCCCTTAGTGCTGCCCAGATTGTCTTGCAATTCTTTTAGGCAATGAAACATAGCAGATGAGGGCTGGAAGAGTAAAGGAGAATTGTCATCAGAATAATTAGCATTATAAGGTATAAACAACCCTTAGCCTTCATGTAGCTAGCTCAGTCTAGGATGATTCATGTTAGTGACATGGACACTTCCTATGAGCAAATAACTTTACAAAAGCTGAAGGTCTCACTTTAACCGTGTTCTTTTTGGCTTGAAAAGAGGCCTGTGTGCAATATTTTGAAATTTTGTTTTGGACATAGGCACTCAAGTTGTTCAGCATTATTTTTCTTCTTTTCTTCTTTTTTTTTTGTCTCTTAAGGAGATGTCATTTTTCACTTAAGCCCTGTTCTTGATTTCTACATCTCTATATAACAGCAAAATTATTCATATACTACTGACAGATCTTCTGCATGGGCTTGCCTTAAAATTTCACTGACATCTCGAATTTTAAAGTTGTGTAGTGACACATTGTCTTACTGGCTTCATCAGTTAAAATGTCTGAATTATTGATTAATTTACTCATCCCATTCTAATTTAGTTTGTTTTACTAGTTCAGGATACTTTTTCTCTCTTCCTGACATTTTACAGAATAAAAGTATGATACAAACGTGATGGGACATAAATCTAGTATCTTATATCTCCTAAGATGTGAAATACCTGTATATTTAAGTTTTAGTATTATGTGGCATCAAAACCAAATACCAAGCTGTCCCAACAGCTCTTTTGTGTGTGTATATGTCTAAAAAATACTGTTAAACCAAACAGTGTTATATTTTATTGCATTTGATGGATTGTGGTTATTTTTTGTGGAAGGAAATGCTTTGCCTTTTCTGCTGTCCCCACCCAGCTGCTTTTCTGTTCCATAAAAATCTCAATTTTTGAAGCATTTTCATTTTTACTTTTCCCAGTTTAAAATAGTAAAATATAATCATACAAAGCACAGAAATCTGGCTTAACTGATATTTTCTCCTGGAAACATTGGTTTCATCTTTTCCTGATGGAAAGAGGGATGTAAAGAACAGGAAATTTTTTAATGGAAAGGGAAGTTTTTGCTATGTTTCTGACTTACTAAGGCTCATTTGGTGAATTGTAAGCTGAGTGCTGTTAAAAAATGCTTTTGCTGTGATTTTTCAGAGTGGATTAAAACAGTGCTTGTCTCAGTAATAAATCAACCTTAAAGAAAATGGAGGACTCTGACTACATTTTCACCTCTTGAGAGCACTTTTATGATCTATTCTATAACCACAAGGCCCAATCTTCTCAGACAGGTGTTTAATTATGTTTTTTCCTCTGCAGCTTTGTAGTGTGGCTCCTCTGTCATTTGGAAAGTGTTCTGTAATGGAGAGGTGAAATGGTTTTCTGCCGTAGCTGGGAAGCGTTAGGCTGTGATGTTATACACCACCACAGTCCAGAGAGCTCTGTGCCAGTCTGTGAGATATTTACAAGCTCAAGGAAATGTTAAAGATGGTTCAATATAAAAGGGAGTTAATTGTCTTTTGTTTAGTTCTCCGGAATGCAGTTTGCGTTGCAGCATTGTCATATGGAGATGGAAATATGTATATATGTTTATGTATGGGATGTAAGGAAACAAATTAATTTTCCAGTATTTTGATCTAAGGTTGATTTCTGTTTCAGCAAGAGGTAAGATAAATGCTAGTAAAACTAGTATATTAGGCTTTTGTTTGAACTGAAGTTTAGTTTCATGTTTGTGTTGTCTGTAGATGTGTATCTGTATTCAGTCACATACAACACATTACTCTGGCCTGAAAACTGACTGACAGAGAGTCCAGTCCAAGTAAGGGTACAGAAAGATGTTGGGTCACTGTAACAGATGAGTGTTTTTTCTGTTTAGCACCTTGTATGTGGCACTGGCAGTCTGACTGATGCTGTCAGCTTCAAGAAGCAGCTGACATGATGGTATCCTCCTAAACCCTAACCACTCAAACGCATATTACTGTGAGGTATTTAGACAAGGGCAGAGAAGTCAGCTCGGGCAGAGTAACTGTGGCGGGGAAACAGGAGAACAAAGAAAATGGGAACACGGTTGTCAGGGGTGTCAGGAATGTATTTAAAGAAAAAGGCTGTAATGCTTTCTTTGGTGTTCAGAAGTACTAGGACTGAAGGGTGAACATACAGTATTGTATTTTTGTCCCTGCTGCTTTTTTATGATTATATGAGTAGTCTTGAGGCATGATTTTGCAGGAGGATCTCAAATGCATTTGGATAAGTTTAAGATTTTTTTTCCAGATTGTTTTAAAAAGTGATATATCTTTCCCCACAGTTCATGTTAATTGTTTGATTAATTGTAAGCTGAAATAAGTAAGTGCTTTTCTGTTCTGGCTTTTTTTAATAGTCTTGGCTGCTCGTGGTACAACAAACAGAACAGCTGAGCAAAATAATGAAGACGCATGCAGAGGATCTTAATTCTGGGCCTTTGCATAGGCTTACAATGATGATCAAAGATAAGCAGCAAGTTAAGAAGAGTTTCGTGGGTGTTCACCAACAAATTGAAGCAGAGATGTACAAGGTATTTTATTCAGCTGTGCTTTATAAAATGATTTACGTATGTTTAAAAAGTGATAAATTGAGAGTGGATTTTTTTAGGTTTTTTGGTTTTGTTTGTGCTATGGTAAAAGTAGTAATGTGTGATATGTAGAATGCTTGGTTTAAATTTTAGTAATTTCCCTACATGTTTTTTTCTCCTGCCTGCTGACAAGGCAGAGATTTCTTCTATATAAATTTCTGTGGACAGATAGCACTGGAAATGCTCTTGTTCCAGTAGAGAATTATTCTGCATGATGCTTCTCTATTCCGTCTCTCCTCTTTTTCTCATTCCACTCTTGACATTCCTGGAACCCAGGGCACTGTAAACTTTGGTTAATGAGTGCTCTTTACAGTCCAGACTGTTTTGGGTGGTGACAGGATTCTAGTCCGTATTCTACAGTATAAATCAAGTATAAGCCAAACATCGAGGCTGCTGCTGAAGCTCTTCAGGGCCTTTTCCATGGCTTGTCAGTTGTCCTGCTTATGTTGAAAGCACTGTATCTACTCAGTAAAGCTGACAGAAATCACAGTTTCATTCAGATGCTCTGGGGGAAGTTTAGCTGCAAATGTCAAAAATCAGACTGATAGTGTGAAAGGTCTCCAGAGAGAAGGAAAAGCACTGTTTCTTCTTTCTTCCCAGAGAATTTGGGCTTTGGAGTGGCATAATTAAAATGTAACGTGAGTAATGCAGCGCAATTGACATGGACTGATAAGATTCTTGGGCCATTTATAAGAAGAAATTAAATCTGTGTTTAAACTAAACATATATTAAGTTAAATATATTTTCTCTAATAAGACTACTTCGATAAAATGCTACAATTCTGACATTTTCCCCAGGTACTGAGTGTGAGGATTACATCTCTTTTGATGCATGGTCAGTAGGCTACCGTTATCTGATAAAGTTTCCAAGCCAAATAATCCCTCGATGCTACTTATGGATTGATGGATCTTAAAATAGTCAGGATGGAAGAGCAGGGAAAAACTGGTAGAACACATTAGAAATAATAGAAGTTATAGAGAATTGCAGAAATAGAAAAAGAAATATAAGAAAGAGAGGCTGAATGGAATAAGATTGTTGGAAACTCAGGTATACTTTTAAAAAAGACTATGCAAAATGTTTTTTTTTCTGTTAATAGGTTAAATTCTAATAAAGTCTCTAAAAAAACTGTCTTTTAAGTAAGGCTTTTGCAAACAATATAGTGCATATTGAGCACTCACTGAATGTTTATTTACAAACCATATTGACTTTATTTAATTCTAGGCTGCATAGCCATGAAAATATTTTGGGTCTTGATTAATAAGCTTGTGTTGTTTTTTTGGTTTGAGTTTTTTTGGGTTTGGTTTTATTTTTCCTTTCCTGATTTTCCCAAGAAACATTTGAATAGCATTCTGGCTAGATATGATATGTTCTCCCATTGTTAGCTGACATTGTTTATTCAAAGGTTTTGTGTACCTTGAGCACTTACAGAATGATTCCCTGAAATGCAAAATACTTCACATGTTCTGTGGTACTATTTTTGCTTTTGTTATGCACAGAGGTAAAATGCTTGTTGTTTCCCAGGACAGTATCCAAACTGTGTAAACATCAGTGTCTGTGTAGTTCCGATGTTTAGGATATACTGGCAAAAAAAAGTGGTTAGGTGAAATTCGTATGTGTGATCCTTTCTTGTTCTAGTCATCTCTACAATGAGGAATCCTTTTGGGAAAATTCTTAAGGACAGTGAAATACTGTGTCTTTTACACAGATGTAATAGGACTTGTTTACTTCGTTTGATTTTTCTTTTTAAAGATTTAAGTTTTACAATTGATAGAGTGGTTCGTGAGTAGTTGCTGTTCCTTAGTCTTTTGGTATGAAGTGTAATATCTAAAAATTCTTCTATTTTGCTCTTTTTTTTTAGGTACTAAAGGGTATCCTTCCTATGCAAAGGACCTTAATGTACTATGATTTGTTAAGCATCTTTTTGATGTTTTATTCTCTTGTAATTGAACTGGAATACTGTTTATGATTAGCTGGGCTTCCTAAACGCATTTTTAATTACTCTGATGTGGATGGGGATCTCTGTTTCAGGCCTCTTATTTAATTCCATGCATTTATTGATTTTGATTTTTCACTATGTAATTTGTAACATGTAACTTGCACCATGTAATTGCACCATGTAATATCCTATTAGTATTATGTCAAGCCAATGGAAAGTGGTAGCATTCTTATTTTGGATAATAAATCTTGTTAATTCTCCTTCACTAATGTTAAGAGTTATTTTATATATTAAGAATAAGTATTTTTAATACTTTTTATATTTCTGTTTTCTTAAAGGTCACAAAGACAGAACTAGAGAAACTAAAATCTAGCTATAGACAACTAATAAAAGAAGTAAATTCTGCCAAAGAAAAGTATAAAGAAGCTGTGGCTAAAGGTATGACTTGAGTTAATTTTGTCTATTTATTAGTACCTTTTTCAAACCTGCTAAAACTCGTACAATGTAACAGGGTTGTTTTTTTATTTTGAGTAACTTGATTACAGTCAGTTCTTGTGAGTATAACAGATCAGACCTTTGCCAGCCTCATGTAAAAGAGGAAAATAAGTCATTTGCACACTGAGATTTTTTTTTAGGGAATGAGGTGTCCAGTCTGCATGGACTTTGGTTCCTGTTGAATTGTGCTTGAATAATTAGATAAAGGAGGGCCTTTGTTCCATTATGTATTGAAATATTATGTGTCCTTCTAAGATATTTTTTTCTTTAGTGAAAATTAATTAAATGGCAGTATATTTCCAAGATCCATCTTTAAGTTTTTGTATGACTGCCTAAATAACAGTTAATGTCCTTGATTCTGTTGTAGTGTAATTATAGTAACTATCACTGTGGAGAGAAAGACTGTTTCTTTCCAAATTTGTCTAAAATTTGGAGTGGTAGCTGATATGTGAATGTAATGACAGAACAGCAGGGGATAAGAGAAGTTATTTTAAGCACTGTTCAGCTGCCTTTTTTTTTCCTTTTACTGATATTCATATTCACTTAAAGATGTAAATACATATTCAGCTGTTCATTTCATCCAGTTCCCTGTCTCCTACATGTAACTTTAATTTTGTTGCTTGGTTTATCCCCAGGTAACTACTTAACGTGGGGATGTATAGTATGTAAAATGGAAAATTTAATAGAGTGCACTGATATTAGTATGTTATTTTTATCCTGTCTTATTTTGTCTTCCTGTTACAAGTCTGGTCATTCTCCATTCCTGAAGCACCAGACTTTCCCACTGAAATAAAAGAATGTTTTGGCTATCAGCAGCTGTGATGTTTTGATGTGGTTTTGATTAACTGAATTAATGTTTCTTTAGATAGACAGCAAACATAAACTATTTTTAAGACATGTCCTGTGGTTTTCTTTGACCTTGTCTTTCAGGCTTCCATTTAATGTTTGTCTTATTACAATCCGTACCTAATTTCACTTCCCCTAAAATCTTAAGTGTAAATCTGTTTTGACAAACACTGACATCCTTAAATATATTGCAGGTTTTTCTCCCAAAAGTTGCAGAATTGCTTCTCTCCTGTTAAATCCCAGGCCGTGTTCCTGTTTACAAATACTTATGTAGTTGATGAGCTACTACAGTTTGTGTATCAGCTGCAGGTTAGCTGAGCTGCTGGAATTTTTTTAAGTTCTGGTGTTTTCATAGCACTTCTGAGCTCTTATGTTGTCAGACTGTTTGGTGAAGTGAAAAGTTAAGGAAGTCCTAAAATTGTAATGCTTCGTTATTCCAGGCTATTCTTTATTCAATAAGGAGTGCTTATTCAAATTATGTGCTATTAAGAAATACTACTTTTGTTAATATACAAACTGGTTCAATTTTTCAGGATTTCAAGAATTACTGGAAATAATGGAAGGAACAATGCTCACCAGGACAGTGGGAGGGCATAACCAAGTATTGAAAATAAGCTGAAAAACATTTTGTTAAACAAAAAAAAATTAAAGTCTTTGGTCACCAGCTCTTGCGAAAGTTGTGTTAAAATAACCAGTCCAGGTCCACTTGTGTAAAATGCTGTCCTCAAGAGAGTCTGTTCCTCTGGAAACCCAACTCTCCAAGGCAGTGACTGGCCTTGCCTCTCTGTAGCTGATGGGGACAACTACTCCTTAGGACATATAGCTTTACCTTTACCCCTGGAGTTGTGCATACTGAATTACCTGCAAATTCATTCAGCACCTGTACGAGCCGGTGCGCAGGAGAAGAATGAAAGTCACACAAAGTAATGACTGAGAAGTGTCTCTATTTTGCAAGTTTAGTGATTTTGAAATTTAGTGACTTTTTTCCAGTTTGTTTTGGAATAGCGAAGCCATTTTCTAGTGAGAGGATGAGTTTACTAGAGCTTCTAGTGAAAGAGGTACAAGTGGTTTTTCAGCTTGTGAAGAGAATTGCTTCCCTGTTTTCTAGCTGAGTTTTTAAAAGTGATGTAGAATTCTGGGCTAAATATACATGGCAGAGGACGTTAACTGAAAAGGGTAAAGACTGGCAAAGTTTATTGAGTGGAAAGTGATGTTATGATTTTCTGCAGTCAGAAAATATTCTCAGGTGAACTTGAATTTCTGAGTTATACTTTCCACCAGCTGTGTGAACAATCACTTTGAATTAATGTGTTGA